TTTAGGCTTCACCGATGGGAAATGGGGAGCCTTAACACGGTGCTGCGGGGAGAGAATATTAACTCCTCGGAACGCACAACCCTTTTCAACTTTCCGTAGTTGTTTTCCCAACTTCTCAGGTACCTGAATAATCTATAAAGGCTTTTTCTTAGCCTCTAATTCTCCCCTTATTTTTTCAAAGGCTTGAAAACCACGAGAAGTAGTATTCTTAGTTAATGTATCTTTACAGAATAACTTTAACGAATTATTACTCTCGGGGGTGTTCGGCTGGAGTTTCCCGGTCGGTGCAGAGTCTTTATTTGTGGAGTCTCCCTTCATCTCGGCGATTTCCCCTGTTGAAGGCCGGTCGTGACGTTTTAAATTCGCGTCAAGATTTCCTCCTCTTTTTCGCCCGCTCCGAAGTCGCCACGTCGTCGCCCTTTTCCCTTTTTTTCCATATCTTTTCGCGATCGCCAGCTCAATCCGCGGCTACTGGCGATTCTCATTTTTTTACTTAGGGGGTGCTGCACTGTTGTTGCCCTTCAGCTCCGCACGTGCCTTTTTCATTTTCCAACACGCCAGGATTCGATATCCGGCTGCGCCGCAAAATTCACATTTCTCAGATTCCGCCAGCTGCTACTTCGCGTCGATTTTGTCGATATCCATCGGGCCGGCAGTCGTGGGGGGTGCCGATCGCTCCGTGCCAAAATTCATGTTCGGCACGTTGCGTTGTGTGTCGGGTTGGCCTCGAGTCAACGCATCGAATCGTTCGGCTGCGCATACCATGTCGCGGTAGTTACTGTAGTTCGATGCGATCACCTGTCGGCGGAATTTGTTTTTTAGCCCCTCAGTGTACGCTTGGATATTTTCGCCTTCGGTTAGGTCGTTGATTTTGTTAAAAAGATTCTCCATCTGCTGCGTGTACTACGTCACACTGCCGAATTGTCGATGACGGTGAATCTGCTGCCGCGCCATGTACCTCGAATTTATCGGTTCGAAACGTTGGATTAAAGCTGCCCGAAACTGCAACCACGATCCTCGCCTCGGATCTCGTTACTGTTGTAAATCCACTCGAGCGCCGGGCCTCGCAACAGTGTGGCTGCGAGCCGAATCCGCATTGCATCATTTGTTAGGGTCGTATAGCCAATAACCTCGAAATAAATTTTGAGGGTTGCGATGAATGGCCGTACGTACGTTCCCTTTGCGCTCTGATTGAATGCCTCTAGTAGCCTCGGACATGCCGCCTCAAGATTCATTGTAGCTGCCGCTGCTGCTGTGTGAAATGTCGGTGTCGCCGCTGCTGCTTCTGCCGTCGCTGCTGCATTCGCTGCTGCGTTCGTTGAAGATATCTGCAGTGTTGGCCTCAGAGACCACACGTACCACGCGGGCATGGCCACGCTGTTGCAACTCGCGCAGAAGGAAGTAACGAAGCTGGATGTGCTTCGCCTTCCCAACCAGTCGCGGCTCCTCGCACAACAGTACAGCAAACCTGTTGTCGGCGAACAAGACTGGGGGAGAGCGAGGCCGCTCACCAAGGTCGGTGAGTAGGAAAGACAGCCAGCGAAGCTCCTGGGCAGCCATGGCCGCAACGTACACCTCTGCCTCACAGCTGGAACTGGAGACTGACGACGCCCGAGTCGACCCCCACGAGACAGCACCAGTCCCAAAGCTGAAGCAGTAACCCTGTGTAGACCGCAGAGACTCAGCGTCGTTGGTCCACGACGAGTCCGAGAAACCTGTAAGTGTAACTGGCTGCTTCCCTCCAAGGGCAAGTCCCATGCCTGATGTACTCGCCACATACTTCGCCACCCTCTTAGCAGCGTACCAGTGGGAAGGCCAATGTCTTCCAGGCGCAACAAAGCACGCAAGGACGCTAAGAGGGTAAGCTAGGTGTGGGCGAGTACAGGTCATCAGGTACATGAGACAACCCACCAGCTCAGGATATGGACCGCTGGACTCAAATGGCTCGTTCAAAGGTGGATCCGTTAGTCCATGATCCACAGCAAGAGGGGTGAGCTGTACCATGGAGAACGGGAAGCAAAACCGCATGAGGATCTACTCGACCATATGCGACTGCGTCAGCGTAATGGTGCGAGCTGCCCTGTCTCTGGTGATCTGCAGGCCAAGGTAGCGCTGCAGCTCACCAAGGTCAGTGCAAGTGTGTCTCCTCTGCAGTTCCTCCTTCACGAAGGCCAGTGCGCATCGGTCGGGAGTGGCAAAGACCAGGTCATCAACGTAAACCAAAACAAAAAACGGGGTCAAGCCACGGTGGACGAACAGCGACGGTTTAGCAGACAACGGAAAGAAGTCAAGCGATGCAAGAGTCGTGTGAAGTGTGTCGTGGCACTCACGGGGAGCCTGGCGCAGACCATACACCGGTCGACGCAACTGCCACTGGGTTCGAGGAGGGAAAGAGCCAGTGAAGCCAGGCGGACGACGCAGTCAGATCTGCTCGTGCAGGCTCCTCTGAAGGAACGCTGTGGAGAAGTCCAAGGAGGGTAACTCGTAGTCGCGCTGGGCTGCAATGTGCAGCAACACCCGAAGAGTGGTCATCTTCGGGGTGGGAGCGAAGGTTTGGAAGAAGTCTACCCCCTCGCGCTGACTGAAGCCTCTCGCCACATAGCGCGCCGGTGGTGATCCAGGTGGCCGCTTTATCTCGTAGAGCCACATGCCACTGACAACATTCGTCCCAAGTGGTTGGACGGCGTCGACGTAGGTGCCTGTGGACCTATAAGAGGCCACCTCTGCCTCCTCTGCTGCTATCCGGTACGAAGCCCAGGGTCCGGAGACCGCCTCGGCATGAATGCGAGGGATCGGGATGTCAAGGGCATCTGGATCCCCCTCAGGGGCAAGCAGCATGGCGCAGAGATGAGGAACAGTGGCCGCTAGGAAACCAAGCTCGAACTGCCTGTCCTCGAGGACCTCCAAGGGAAAGACAGGAGCACCCCCAGAGGACGGAGAACGAGCATGGCCACTCACCAAGTGAGCGGCGTAGTCAAGGCGGTGGTAAGAGGCAAAGCGAGTGACAGTGGTAACAATAGCTGAGACATACAACGGAGGGGCACTCGGGTGACTGAGCAACGCGGACAGAACACGAGAGACGACAGGACAGGAGGCACGGAGGTAGTCGGACAACGGGTCGTGAAGCACAGTGAGGGACGACTTTGGAGGCTGTGGAAGGACCGGGGGAGGTGGAACATGAGAGCGGAGAACAAGGTGAAACGGGCCGTATGCACGGTAACGAGACGATGGGGCTCTAGAGACACAGCACGACTGAGGGGACACGACGAGCCCACGGGGACGAGGAAAGGGACTGGTCATGGGGAACAGAAGGGGACGGTAGGGGACCACGAACCAAGCGTGTAGGTGCTGGGTCGGGAAGGTCACGGAGTCGCTACTGCTCTGCCTCCTCTGGTGTCTGCTGCAACGGCACCTGCCCCTGCTGCTGCTCCTGTGGCTCCTCCTCTGCCCTCTCCTGCTGCACCTGCAGCTGCACCTGCTGCTGCGCTCGGGACTCTTGCTCTACCCACTCCTGCTGCGGCTGTGACTCCTCCTCTACTCTCTCCTGGTGTGGCTGCAACTACACCTCCTGCTGCGGACGGGACTCCTGCTCTACCCTCTCCTGGTGCGGTCGTGACTCCTCCTCTACTCTCTCCTGCTGTAGCTCCTCCTCTACCCTCTCCTGACGCAGCGACTCAGACTGTTCCTGCCACTGCTGCTGCTGCTGCTGCTGCTGCTGCTACTGCCGCTGCTGCTGCTGCTGCTGCTGCTGCTGCTGTTGCTGGTGCTGCGCCCTTTCAAAACTCTCCCGCTTCTCCCTCTCCAACCGGTCTAGACGCTGCACACGAGTCAGGAAACGTACAGTGCGCGGTGTAGGCGTCGTAGTGGCCGTGTCTCCGGCTCCAGCACCCCCAGAGCAAGGAGTGCACGGCGGCGCAGGCGAGCGGGGAAGTGGTGCAAGCGACTCTGGGAGACCTGAGACCAGACGGTGACGTACCATCCTACTAAGACGTGGGAACGACGGGTGACCTAGACGGTGGTGCCAGTGGACCGACGGGTGGGTGAGTGACCGACAGTCGCACGACACAGCAGCTACCTGACCTGACCTGACCTGACCTGACCTGACCTGACCCAGTGTGGTGAGACCTGACTACAGACCAGAGCCTGGCTCCCTGTGGAAAGTGGCCAGAGGCGCCCCAGTGACACCAACTGTGCAAGAGGCGACAGGCTCGACCAGTGGGAAAGTAGTGACTACTCCGAGATCGTGCAGGTGACTGACACCCACCAAGTTCCTGGAGAACGAGGGGGTGTAGTAATCCGTGATAAACCCATAGTGAGCCGCCGGACACGGGCGGGTGGTGGTGCTGTGAGCAAGCACTGGTCCCGCTGTGGAGTCAGCTAGGGCGACACAGACAGGAGTGCGTAGTGGTGTGAGGTCTGTGCAGTCGCGAAAGAAACAGCTGGACGCCCCAGAGTCGAGTGTAAACGACAGAGGTGGTCGAACCTGTGTAAGCTACGCTAGCAGGGAAAGCAGTAGCAACCTCCACAGCACCTAAGCTAGACAAACAAGAGTAATAACCAGAATACGCAGCACTAGAGTCATGAGCATACATCACAGAGGCATATCGCAAAGCATGGTCTAAGTCTACTGCAGTCATGTCAAACAACTGCGGACCAACGGTGTGCGCCAGCGAGCGCCAGTCGGGGGGAGTGCGACCAAGGCCGAAGTGTGCGCGGTAGCGGTCCGTAAGCTGCGCAAAGCACTGACCCGGAGGGTGGAGGCGGCCACAGGGGTTGTCTCGACTTGACCCAGTCTGAACCCAGTACTGGCAGGGAGTCAAGGCTGGACCACGCGACGACCAGCTGGACTTGCCACTGCTACGTGCAGTGCTCCCTGGTCCGGCCGACCTCCACTGCTGCTGCAGGGGCCACTGCTGGACCTGCTGCTGCTGGCCCTGGAGCAGCTGCTGCCGTGGCTGCTGCTGCTGCTGTGGCTGCTGCTACTGCTGCTGCTGCTGCTGCTACTGCGGCTGCTGCTGCTGCTGCTGTTGCTGCTGCTGCTGCTGCTGCTGCTGCTGCTGCTGCTGCTGCTGCTGCTGCTGCTGCTGCTGCTGCTGCTGCTGCTGCTGCTGCTGCTGCTGCTGCTGCTGCTGCTGCTGCTGCTGCTGCTGCTGCTGCTGCTGCTGCTGCTGCTGCTGCTGCTGTTGCTGCTGCTGCTGCTGCTGCTGCTGCTGCTGCTGCTGCTGCTGCTGCTGCTGGGGCTCTACACTCCGCGAGCCAGTTTCCCCACCTCCACTACCACCGAAAACGCCACCTCCTCCACTCCCTCCACCTCCTCCACTTCCTCCACCTCCTCCACCACCACCCGCACCGCCACTCCCACCGCCACCACCACCTTCTCCTTTCTTGCCGCCCTTCTTGCCCCCCTTGTTGCCAGAGGCAACGGCCGCCACCTCTGTTGCAGTAGCAACAGAGGCAGAGGTCACAGAGGAGGTAGGGGGCCACGGGGCACACCCCTCAAAGATAGGGGGGAGGACGGTACCAGTAGTGGCAGCAAGGGACCGAGCAGGACCCTCTACTGCAAGGAGCTTCTCCTCAAAGAGCTCAATGGTGAGGGTCGGTGGATCAACGGTGAGAAAATGATAACGAGCGGTTTTGAATCGGTCAGGGAGACGGGAGGAGAGAAGGTACAGGGTCATGTACATGGGGGGGGGGGGGGGGGAGGAGGGGGTTCTTGGCGAGCAAGGCAGGGTCAACAAACGCAGCACGGAACTGAGCATCAAGAGAACGCAAGTGCATAATCAGGTCAGCCACCCTAGTGAACGACGGGAGATCAGGAAAGAGAAAGGGGAGGATGTGGCGTTCTAGAGTCACAGTGACGGGGGTGGAATAGCGAGTGATGACTGCTTTCATCAGTGCGTGGGCCGTCTCCTCCTTTGCAAAGAGTTCCTGCTCGGTCAGCGGCAGCAGGGCAGTGATAGCGAGGATGGTGGCATTGTCACGCGCAGCCCAGCGCCTAAGCTGAGTGCGACGCTGGGCATAGGCAGCATGGTCATCTGCTGACGCATCGTCACCAAGCAGAGCGGGAGTGGGGGGGGCTTTCAGCTCACCAGCGGCATGCTCGAAAAGAGGGATATCATTCTCGAGACAGCTGCCGAGGTAGAGCTTGAGCTTCCGCAGCCATGCCGGGAAACCGATAGGGCGTCCCTCTGGGTCAAACTCCAGGACAATCGTCATAGAAGTGGGAGGTGCCTAGGGCGAGAGAGGCCCTCTATGCGGTCAGGTGAGGTTAGGGACGGACGAGGGCGGCTAAGAGCAGCCTGGCACGGTTGAGTGCGGTTCTGGTGCGGTTGAGAGAGGTCTAGAGCGGTGGGGAGCGATCTGGTGCGGTTGAGTGCGGTGAAGGGCGGTTGGGACGGGTTGAGTTTGGTGGGAGCGGTTTTCGCGGTTGAGAGTGGTCTAGTGCGGTGAAAGGCGGTTTCTCGCGGCTGGAAGTAGTCTAGTGCGGGTGAGAGGCGGATCTGGTGCGGTTGAATGCGGTTAAGTGGTTTTGGAGCGGCTGAGGCGGCTGTTAGGGTTTACTGCCGCGGACTAAGCTAGAGAGAGGCGGGATAGGGCGGTAGTGAGCCGCGGCAGACAGGGTACGGGCGGGAAAGCGGCGGGGTACAGGCGGAAACGAAGGGGAACGCGTGGGGGCCACGGGGCCAGCTAGCGCGGGCCACGGGGCCGTCGATTACGGGCCGCGTGGCTCGCTACCGACAGGCCGCGGGGCCTGCTAACGAAAAAGGGCCGCGGGGCCCGCTTCCTACGGTCGTTCGACGGGCGACGTGCGGGGCGCGTGCGGGAAATAGACGGGCGACGGGAGGGGAAATTTTGACGGGCGACGGGAATGCTACGGGCGACGGGGTGGGTACTGACGACGGGCGCGCTACGGGCGACGGACGACTAGCTACGAGGTGCGCGTTAGGACGGGGCGCGTGTTCGTACGGGGCGCGCGCTAGCGATTTTGGTGGGCCCTTAATCTATCGAGAGTGAAAACGCTAGGGGAAACCCTAGCTAGGGAAACCTAGCTCTATACCATGTTGAGATATGAGAATGAATGACTAGAAGGGGAAAATACAACAAGTATATATGAAACTTTACCCTAACCCTAACAAGCAGAAAGTACACCTAGACTAACAATAGAAGCTATAACAAATAAAGCTTGACAGTGCACCCCGCAGAACCTCCAGCAGGAGCACCCTCAACCCCACCACCACTAGGACTCTCAGCACCCCCGAACCAGCACCCCCTGAGTCAGCACCCCCAAAGCCTGCACCTCTAGAGTCACCACCCCTAGTAGCACCGGAGTCCACAGGGTCAGGCTGCAGAGGTGGCGAAGGCGGCCGAGGCGGAAAAACCAGGATGGGGTCTCCAAGCGCGGTGACCGGCGAGAGGCCGCGGTGTCGTCAGCAGCAGGATCACCCCCCTCAGCCGGGCCAGCGTGGTCTGAGGAGACCTCCACAGACCTGAGACATACCTGAGGGAGCAGGACGCAGCGAGGGGGGGGCGGGGTCTAGCGGGGGGTAACCTGGAACGAGGAAGAGGGGCGGGGGGGGCACCCGGGAACTACGGTGGGGGAAGCAACGGTAGTAGCAAACCGACTCGTCAAAGGTGATGCCGCGGGAGGACAGGAAGCGGTGCGTGGCTGGGTGGTAAGACTGCCAGGGTGGGGCGTCGGTGGGAATACCAAGGAAGACCCAGCGAGCGGTGCAGGGAGAGAGCTTGCCCGAGGGAGGATCGCGGACAAGGGCAAGCAAACCCCAGACCCGTAACGCCGACACAGCGCCAACCTCCCCCGTCCAAAGCAGGGTAGGCGAGGTCTCTGGCTGGGAGACACCGGGCCAGAGGTTGAGCTGATGCGCGGCGAAACGGACCTCAAACGGCCACAGAAAGTGGGGAGCAGCCGCATGGATCATGGAGGTGCGAGCAGCCTCCGTGATCAAGCCAATGCGGCGCTCAGCAATCCCATTCTGCTATGGAGAGGCCGGAAGTGTGAACGACTAGGTAATGCCCTCCTCGCGACAAAAGTCCTCGAGGAGGCGGGAGGAGAACTCACCACCTCGGTCAGAGTGCAGCCGCAACACCGGAAGGTTTTGCCAGAACTGTGCGCTCTGCTGGAGACGAACAGCGCTGATCCAAGGGATTAAGAGACGACACACATCCGCCTTGCATTGCAATGGAAAAACCGTGGTGTAGCGCGTGAAGTCGTCAATGACCAGCAGAAAGTAGCGCTCCCGGCCTGGCCTAGAGACAGGGGCGGGGCCCACACGTCCATGTGCAGCGTCTGCAGAGGAGCAGTGGTCGGAGGAAACGAGGAGGAGTGAGGAGCGGCGCGCTGCCGGCCCCTCGACGCAGGGAGTGCACGGCGGCGCAAGCGACCGGGGGGGGTGGGGCAGGGACCTGGGGAAGTCAGAGACAATGAGACGCGAGTGCATGCTACGGAGGCGCAGCAGGGAGGGGTGACCAAATGGTGGTGCCAGAGGAGGGACGGGTGCGTGAGTAACCGACACGAGCACGACGCATCTACCTGACGGGACGCAGCCACCTGTGCAGACTCAGTGTGCAGTGTGTACAGGCCAGACCCAGGCCTCCGGGTGAACGTGGTGAGGTGGTAGCCAGTCACCGAGTCTGTACAGATCGCCACGAGCTCGCCCCAGGAGTAGTGATAGTGACCAACTGATCCTGGAGGACAGCCTGACTCACCAAGTTCATAGCGAACGAGGGGAGGCGGAAACGCGTGAGGGAGTCAGAGGGGGCTGCCGGACACGGGAGAACAGCGGAACTGCGTGCAACGACTGGGCCACCAGAGGGGTCGGCCAGAGTGACAGGGAGAGGTGTCGTGAGCGGTGTGAGTGTGGTGCAGTTGCGGAAGAAGCACCTAGACGCGCCAGAGTCCAGTGTGAAAGTGTGCAACGCCTCCGCAAGAGCTGCACGTGTGCTAGCAGTCTCACAAGCACATACACTAGTAGCCTCTGCACTACCTGGTCTAGCGCTGCGCCTCCCGCTAGGAGTGGACGCCGCACCGGCCTCCTCAGCACCGAGGAAGTCAACAACAGCAGGCAGAGGCAACAGAAGGCGCTAGGAGGGAAGGAGAACACCCCTCAAAGAAGGAGAATCGTGGAGTGCCACGAGAGGTAGCTACAGCGACGTCACTAATCTCAGCCTCGAGGAGACGAGTCTCAAACGAGGAGACGAGTCTCAAAAGAGGCAAGGGTGAGCTCGTAGGGTCTAGGGAGAGGAAGTGGTCGCGAACAGAGCTAAGAGAGTCGGGGAGGCGAGTCGTAAGGAGTAGAGAGTAAGATACATGGGGGGTTGGTTCTTTGCCAGAAAGGCTAGCTTGAGAGCAGCACGGTAGCGCGTTTCAAGGGAGCGCAGGTGAGTCACGAGGTCGGCTACAGTGGTGAAGTATGACAGCTCAGGGAAGAGGAACGGCAGCGCACGACGGCCTATAGTGGCAAAAGACGGTGAGAAGTAACGCTTAAATACATCGTCATAGAGTGCTTTGGGCCGTCTTCAGCTGGCGGAAGTGGGGCCTCTGGTCTAGCGGGAGGTGACTACGGACAGATAGCTGGGCGGTATCGTCACGCGAAAGCCACTGTGAACGAGCTTCAGTCTTAAACTGGTGTCGCAGAGTCAGATCACCGGAAGGACTAGGGTCAGTCGGCTCCTGTAAGGCAGGGAGGGACCCAAACGTGTGCTCAAACAACAAGACATCGTCTCTAGTAACGCTGCAGGTACAGGTGGGAGGTCCTCTAGCCAGGACTCATACTCGATCGGGCGGCCCTCCGCGTCAAAGGTCAGTACAGTGGAAGTTGCCATGGCAGGCAGCACGAGCTGCAGAAATGCTCAGGCAATAGCGGATGTAGAAGCAGTGGCAGCAGCGGAAGCGGCAGTAGCAGTAACGGCAGCGGCAACTGTAGTGGCAGCGGCAGCGGCAGCTGTACCGGCAAGGGTGGATGCAGCACTGGCAGCAGCGGCAGCAATGGCGGCTGCAGCAACGGCAGGGCAATGGCGGCTGCAGTGGCAAGGGCGGCTGCAGCAGTAGCGGTAGCGGCAGTAGCGGCAAAGGCGGCTGCAGCAGCGGCAGCAATGGCGGCTGCAGCAGCTGTAGGGGCAGTAGCAGCGGCTGCAGTGGCTGTAGCTGCAGAAGTGGCGGCAATGCAGCAGCAGCAGGCGGCAGCTTGGGCGGCAGTGCTGGGTGGCAGCGCAGCAACGCAGCAGTGCGGGCAGCAGCTTGGGCGGCTGCGCTGTGCAGCGTGAGCAGCAGCAAAGGCGGGGCAGAGCAGGCAGTTGCGCTGGCGGCAGCACGGGGCAGCGCAGAAGCGCGCGGCTGTGCGGGCGGCTGCAGGCGACAGCGCAGGGCAGCGCGGGCAGCAGCTTGGCAGGGCAGGGCAGAGCAGGGCAGCGCGCCCTGGGTAGCGTGCGGGGCAGCACGGGCGAGCAGCGCGCGGGGCAGCGAAGGCGCTCGGGGCAGCACGCGAGGCAGCGCGCGGGGTGGCGGAAGCGCGGGGCAGCGGAAGCGCTCGGGGCAGCACGTAAGGCAGGGTACGGGGCAGCGAAAACGTGGGGCAGGGCAGCGCGCAGGGCAGCGCGAGAGTTCGGGGCGGCAGGGCACGGCGCGGGGCAGCGCGATCGTGCGGGGCAGGGCAGCGCTATTGTGCGCTCAGGGCAGAATCTAAAGGTGGGCCCTAAGAAAAAACGGCCCTAAACACGGTCCTAAGGAACTACGTGCTCTAAAACCATGTAAAGATTAGGTAGGAATGGTTAGGTCAAGGAAGGGGTACAAGCAAACTGTCGAGAAGGTTTCAATACCCCCTAAGGGTAACCCCAATATAGCCTAACTATACAAGAACATATATGTTTTGACACCTACGCCTCTCTGGCAAACCTCTTATCAGGCTTGCCTGATACAATGTGCGAAGGGTTCTGGGTTTCTAGCCTGATAAGAGGCTGTAGGAACACGCCCTTACAACAATTCAAGAAAAGGCTGGTGGTGAAATCTGGGGCATAAAATTCTCATGTATGTACAGGGATCAGGCGATACCATATACAACATGATGATAGACACAACTAGAGGGGGATGAGGTTTTCTAAAAGTACTGTAAGCGAAACAACCACATTGTATGCATTTAGTTATTTGCTTTAATAAATGTACAAGTTGAAGTTCATGATAACGCACTGATCCGTTTGTGAAGCATGCCTGAGGTATAACGTCGAAATTCGGGGGCTTTTCATCTGAAAGCACTGCGCCATGGCCGGAAACACGGATCGGCGCCACAGCTAGTTCAAACGGCGCTTGCAGAAACAGAAACGGCCATCCAGCATGACGGCCATCCAGCATGACGCCATCCAGCATGACGCCATGGCGCCGCCACAGACACTGGCAGCTCAAGCCAGCTCGCCGCGAACCGCACTGTGATCAAATACCCCCTCTTTCTCATCTCCCGAACGCGCGTCGGCAGCCTCCGCGCTCTGCTCCTCGCGTTGCTTCTCCCCCACCCCACGCCCATCCCCCACAGCAGTCCGCCACATGAGGGCAGCGCGCGCGGGGCGGGGTGCGCGCGCTGGTACGGCGTGGCGCGGGTGGGCGCGCTGATTCGCGAGCGGACCGAGGAAGCACCCCGAGATGGAGGACGCGTTTCGGCAGCGAGTACGTGGCGGTTGGTGATTGGCGGATGGTGATTGGCGGATGGTGATTGGCGGATGGTTATTGGCGGATGCGATGGTCTGTTGCGACCTGCATTGGCCTCCCCCCCCCCCCCCCCCCCCCCAGCCCTCCCCTCCCCCCCTCTCCTCCATCGCGCCCTTCCATCTCTGCGCCACATCCTCCCCCCCTTCCCCCCCGACCCCATTCCCCCTCCCCTTCGACTTCCCCACCTCCACCCTCCTCTTTCCCTCCTCTTTCGTCTCCTCCCTTCCCCTTCCCAGGCCCCCCACCTTGACCCCTTCCCGCTCCACCGTCTCTCCCATGCTGCCCTCCCTCCCACCCATCCATGCCATGACCCCTGTCCCATGCGCCCCTCACGGGCAGCAGCCCCCAGCTTGCAACACTGCTGCCTCACACACCCTGAACCACGGTCTACCCCCTTGCCTTGACCTGTGCGGCGAGGGACCGTGCCAGGTTACAAGTGAAGGTCACTGTCACGCCCACCCGCGCATGTGTGCTGCTGCTGCCTCTGCGCCATGCCCGCCATCTCCACCATGCCTTATTCAACTCTCAGGCTCAAACGCTCTGCAACTGCAGGGCATCGTTTGAGAATAACGCTGATGTGTGATGTGATATCACGACGCCAACACCATTCACTTAGCTCCGTTACCAGGTGCTAGAGGGCACAGCAGCACACGCCATCCATGCAGCCATCACCTGCTCTCGCCTGCTTTCAATTCTCCTCTTCAACTCCCCTGCTCACCTCCACTGCTCACGCAGGTTGAGGAGCTGCTCGCGTCGTTTGAGACCAGTGCTGACGTGGCGGCGCTGAGTCAGCAGCGCACGGGGTGCTCGTGCTACCACATCCGCAACAGCTACTGCTGCTCGCAGAACCTCTGCCTCTGCAGCCCCATGTGCTGGAACGGCGAGAGGTGGGGTGGGTGGTGTGCAAGTGAAATCCCGAATCCATGTTAGCAGAACAAACCTCGGCCTATGCTTGCCCATGCGCTTCGTCCCCGCACTCCATTCACTGTGCGTGCGCACACATCGCCATTTGAGGCGTCTCAAAATTCAAAACTCAAATTGTGAGACGTCTTCAAGTTAACTATGCTTTACTCCCTCACTCTGATTCACCGTGGCGCACACAACGGCACCCGCACTGCCCTCACCACCACCCCTGCAGATGATCCCGTGGGCCAGTGACAGTGCCCCATCGTGCTGGGCCAGTCACAGTGCCCCCATCGTGCTGTATCCCCTCGCCACCCCCTGTATCCCCTCGCTCACCCCTGCTCTTCTCCATGCACACCCATCACCCCTCATCACCACCCCTGCAGATGATCTCACTGGGCCACCCACAGTGCGAGGCAGAGGGAGCACACACCGCCGCCTGTGAGCGAGCCCAAGCCCATCCTGCGAGCGGTGGGGTGCCACAAGGCGGTGGAGTTCAGCGAGGCCCTGCGGGTCGTCACTGATGAGGCCGTCAACTCGCTCGTGCACCTGCGCGCTGCTGGGGGAGGGGGGGGAGGAGTGGGGGAAGAGGGGGGAGAGGGGGGGTGGAGGGGAAGGGGTGGTTGGAGACGCGGCGGCGTGTGGAGTGGCGGTTTGGGCTCACGCTGCTGCAGCGGTTTGACTACCAGGCCGTGAACGTGGCTCACTTCATAGGTGTGTGGCTTGTGTGTGCATGATGCCCGCCCATGATGCCCGCCCACGATGATTCCCATCATCTCCTTCTTACAATTCCCTCTCGCCCTTTCACCCTCTCGCACCTGGTGATCACCTGCCTCGGCCGTTGCGCTGCTCCTGCACAACTTCACTCACCCGACTCTGCTGCAGCCCCTCACCTTTCCTTCCACACACACATTCTCTGCCATACACTATGGTG